AGTGAGTTGAGATTGCACCACTGCACTCCAGCCTGGGCGACAGAGCAAGACTCAATGGAAAAAAAAAAAAAAAAAAAAAGATTTCTAGACCAGTGCCTCCATTTTATAGATGAAGAAACTTCAATGTGATTACATGATGTGCTCAGATCCCACAGCTAGTAAGTAAGCATATGTACCAATTATAAACCAGGTCTCCTAAGCCTGATGTTCTTTTTAGGTTGACTTTCAATTAGGTCTCTATTGTTGCTAAATCAACTCCATCTCTCCTTTGGTCCAAGTTCCAAATGATTTTTGAATCATCTCAAGTTGTTTACAGTGAACCAATTTAGTTCTGCTAGTTCAATTCAAAATAAGAATTCATATTCGCAGTTCAAAGGAAAAAGTAACTGGAATCCATATGAAGATCACAGTCATGGTTTCTTTGGATTGCTGGTTCAACCCCGGATGCACATTGTGATCATCTGGGGCTTCTAAAAATACCTAAGCCAGGGCCTGTTTCCCTCCTTGGGGCAAGACCTAACTATTGGTATTTGTACAGTTTCTGAGTGATTCTCGTGTACAGCCAGGAGTGCAAACCATTGCAGGTGCTTGTTTTAGATATTGGCATACAAAGCTTCACAGGCTTAGAATTCTCTTTAAATCTGTGATTTTCTTAGAGCCAGAAGGGGAAGTGTAGTGATCAAAAGAAATTACGGCTCAGGAAAGTCATGGGGAAAGCACAGAGCTGTTTAAATAGAATTGTAGTGTCCAGAGTAAGGGAAGTGAAAGCCCCACTTCTCTGCCACGTGCTTGGAGAAGGATGTAGACTCTTCAGGTCTGGCCACCCTACTGTACTGGGAGACATTGACACAGCAGTTCCCAAGAGAGCAGTCAGGGAGGTAAAAAGGCCAATCCCCCTGCCCCTTTTTTTTTTTAAGAGAAGACCAAGACAAAGAAACAGGATAATTGATTTGAAAAAGACTTGAAGAGGGATCGGTGTCTTCACTTAATTAAAAGATTTGCTCAGGAAAGAGAAATTAGACCAACTCTGTCGTTTTGAAAGTAGAATCTAGGGCCAGCGGGTGGGAGATGAGAACACGTGGAGCTGGGAATAGAATGGGCAGCTTCCTCAGTGGTGAGCAAAGCCAAGGGAAGCAGGGCTGGGGAAGTGCTGCCCAGGACAGTTCAAGGATTGGACTGGATGGTCTCCGAGTCCCTTGCCACTCTCAAAGTCTGTGATCCTCATCAGCTGACTGAACAGAAACTTAAGGGAGACCCCCCCCGACTTCTCAACTCAATGAACCTATTGGAGCTGGATTTTTACTCTCCGTGTTAGCAGTAACAGATTGGCAAAGCAATAGAAAACAAATGCACCAATTAATGTTTTTCAGAAACTTACAAAAGTTAGCCCCTGAAATCATTTCTGTGTTATGCATGTGGAGGATCACTGCCTGAGGACCCTGACCAGCCCTATCAACTCTTTCATTTTTGGAATTTTTCTTTCTTTCTTTCCTTTTTTTTTTTGCATCTCACTCTGTTATCCAGGCTGGAGTGCAGTGGCACAATCATGGCTCACGGCCTCAACCTCCCAAAGTGGCGGGATTACAGGTGTGAGCCACAGCACCCAGCCCGTGCTGGTCTTTACCTCCCAGGCTCAAGCCTTCCAAGAGGCTGGGACTACAGGCCCGTGCCCCCATGCCTGGCTAATTTTAACTTTTGTAGAGATGAGGTCCTGCTGTGTTGCCAGCGCTGGTCTTGAACTCCTGGGCTCAGGCGATTCTCTTGCCTCAGCCTCGTGAGCCACCATATCGGGCAAGCCTTGACAACTCTTTCACGACCTGAGGCAGGGCTGAATGTAAGAGGTTAGGGAATTAGAAACCTAAGGGGTTGTCTTGTTTAATTATTACTCCTACTATGTGGCGATCTGAGCCATTGTCCATTGTAAGGGTCCTTCTGGTTGATGTGTATGAATTGCAGTTTCGCGGTTTTTTTTGTTTTTGTTTTTTTTTTTTTTTTTGGCAGGGGATGCAAGGGACATTTTGATATTGTTCCAACTGATTATAGTGATTGAGGGATTATGATTAGGATTCTCCAAAGTAACTAGTCCAGGCCAGGCGCTGTGGCTCACCCCTGTAATCCCAGCACTTTGGGAGGCCGAGCCGGGTGGATCACCTGAAGTCAGGAGTTCAAGACCAACCTGGCCAACATGGTGAAACCCTGTCTCTACTAAAAATACAAAAATTAGCCTGGTGTGATAGCACGTGCCTGTAATCCCAGCTACTCGGGAGGCTGAAGCAGGAGAATCACTTCAACCTGGGAGGCGGAGGTTGCAGTGAGCTAAGAGCACGCCACTGCACTCCAGCCTGGGTGACACAGTGAGACTCCATCTTAAAAACAGAAATTAAAAAAATAAAGTAACTAGTCCAGAAAAACATCTTACAGCTGAAGTGGTCTCATAGGAAGGGAGAACAGCACTGCACAACAGGAATGCTACAATGGGAGCCATACATCTAAAATCAAAGTTTAGATTTTCCAGGAGCCACATTAAAAGAAGTAAAAAGAAGCAAATGATATGAATTTAAAGAACATATTTTATGCTGGGTGTGGTGGCTCACACCTGTAATCCCAGCACTTTGGGGAGCCAACGCAGGCAGATCACTTGAGGTCAGAAGTTTGAGACCAGCCTGGCCGACAAGGTGAAACCCCAATTCTACTAAAAATACAAAAAATTAGCCAGGCGTGGTAGCTTGTGCCTGTAACGTGAGCTATTCGGGAGGCTGAAGCAGGAGAATCGCTTCAGCGATTTAGGGAACCAGGAGGCAGAGGTTGTGGTGAGTCGAAATCATGCATGGTACTTCAGCCTGGGCGACAGAGCAAGACTCTGTCTCAAAAAGAAAAAAGAGTGTATTTTATTTAACTCAATTTGAAATATCACTTCTGCATGTGGCGTGTGGCTGTGACCACAGGCAGGGGAGGTGGACCTTGCATCCTCATTGCTGGTATAGTAGTCAGGCTCTGCTGCCCTAGCGGCACTGAGATGTTGGCCATCCTCATGTCGCAGAGTCTCCACCTCTGCTGGTCTTGCTTTGCCTGCTTCTTTTACTTTATTTGAAATTCTTGCCTGTGCTTCAGCGCCTCCCCTGGTTTATGGGCTCCTCCACCCTGTGGCTTCTACTTCTTATGTCTTCCCCTGGTATCTGCCAGATTCCATGCTGCTCTTTTTTTTTTTTTTTTTTTTTTTAAGATGGAGTCTCAAGCTTTGCTTGGGCAACACAGAGACCTTGTCTCTACAAAAAAATTAAAAAATAGCCAGGCATGGTGGCATGCACCTGTAGTCTCAGCTACTGGAGAAGCTGAAGCAGGAGGATTGCTTGAGCCCATGAAGTTGAGGGTAGAGTGAGCTGCAATAGCACCACTACACTCAGACTGGTCAACAGAGTGAGATTCTGTCTCAAAAAATGGATAAATAAATAAGCAAGCAAAGCAAAACATGGGGCCGGGCACAGTGGCTCACGCCTGCAATCCCAGCACTTTGGGAATCTGAGGCAGGGGGATCTCCTGAGGTCAGAAGTTCGAGGCCAGTCTGGCCAACATGGTGAAACCCCGTCTCTACTAAAAATGCAAAAATTAACCAGGTGTAGTGGTGCACACCTGTAATCCCAGCTACTCAGGAGGCTGAGGCAGGAGAATCGCTTGAACCTGGGAGGCGGAGGTTGCAATGAGCCGAGATTGTGCCACTGCACTCTAGCCTGGGGGACAGAGCGAGACTCCGTCTCAGAAACACAAACAAAAAAAAAGCATGGTCCATCACCTGTACCTAAGAGGTCCCTTAAGAAGCAGCAGGTCCTCTGGAGGCCTCTCAGAGGATAAGACTCTCTGCATGGCCTGCCCAGGTGAAGGTGTCCATGAGGAGAACAGTGTTACAGAAAGGGAGTTCACATATGGCTTTAAAGATGTCCAAGAAGCCTCACTAGCTGTTGTGAAATTAGGGCTTCCTGCCCTCCTTTTTTCCTCTCCCCATTTCCGTCTTTTACCCTTAATCTGGTCCACAACAAGATGGCATGCCTTTTAGTTTCTTGTCTGATTCAGCTGTGGATGATTTCCATTTATAAGCCCAAGATGCAAATTCATCCACCTCCCACTTTCCTCCTGAGTTGGATCCTCTGGGTTGGATGGCTCTGCCTGTGATAGGGACATTCAGTGAGTTTATTCCATTGGTCATGTGTGCCTTGGATTTTACACATTTCAAAACTGACCAGTGATTTCTGTTTCACTTGCTACGAAGCAATATTTTGCATATAACTCCATGGGAGTTTATTTCAAACTCACATTAAAATAGGAATGAATGCAAAAACAGCCTTTCCTGGGAGCAGGCTTTGCTGGGGGTGGGAGGAAGAAGGAGTGCCAAGGTGTCCAAAGGGGAAGGAATAGAGAAAGGAAGATACCTCGCAGGTGATTGAGTGCCCGGAAGACAGACCCTCCCTGCTTCCAATTTGTTTTCCCCTGGAGCCAGCCTGTGGACCGGCCCTGTTGATATTCCATGGCAGACATCTTCCCCTGAACCCTAAATGTGGGTGGCTCATTGTATTTCTATTTGCTGTAGGTCCATACTGGCCTGACTCTTTGTCACTGTTTGAGGCTGGTATATCCCGTTAATTCCTCTATGAGTAAAAATGCAATACTGAGGTTCCAGGTGCCAAGACCTTG